TACCATACTCAGCTGGGATCATGGGCACACACTACCATACTCAGCAGAGACCACAGGCACACACTACCATACTCGGCTGGGATCATGGGCACACACTGTCATAATCAGCAGGGACCACAGGTACACACTACCATACTCAGCTGGGATCACAGGCACACACTGCCATACTCAGCAAGGATCATAGGCACACACTGCCATACTCAGCTGGGATCATAGGCACACACTGCCATACTCAGCTGGGATCATAGGCACACACTGCCATACTCAGCTGGGATCATAGGCACACACTGCCATACTCAGTTGGGATCACAGGGACACACTGCCATACTCAGTTGGGATCACAGGGACACACTGCCATACTCAGCTATGAAGAGGTATTTCTGTCATTCATTCATTCCCTTACCTATTCATTTCTTAAGCCACTAATTTTTAGTTATACATCCCCAGGCCCATAAGGCAAATTTTAGGTCTTATATAACTGATAAAGACAAAAAACATGGATTTTTTTTTAAGTGGGAACCTAGCCAGGCACAGTGGTTCACCCCTTTAATACCAGCACTGTGGAAAAAGAGATAAAGTTAAGCAGATGACTATGAATTATGGGTAAACCTGTCTACATAATGAATTCCAGCCAGAGCTCTATAGTGAGACCCTGTCTCAAAAAAAAAAAAAAAAAGCTGAAAACTAGAAAAGTTTCCAAGCAAAAGAGCACAATATATTCAACTTAAAGTAAGACCTGAGCTCTCTTCACTTGATGTGTGTTTCAATCCTAAACTTTTGCATAGAAGTAATTCAAATACATATAAGCACGTAAATATTTAAGCAGATATAATTCAAAACTACTCTAATTTCAAACTGTAATTAGAAGATTCAAAACTGAAATCTCACAACATTAATTTTGTTGTTGGGGGGTTGTTTTGTGTTTTTTGTGTTTGTTTGTTTGACACAGGGTTTCTTTGTGCAGCCCTGGCTGTCCTGGAATTCACTATGTAGGCCAGGCTGGCCTCAAACACAGAGACTCACCTGCATCTGTCTCCTGAATGCTGCTGGGATTCAAGGCTTGCTGTGCCACTACACCTAGCTCCATTACATTAATGTGTGTGTGTGTGTGCGTGTGCGTGTGCATGTGCGTGTGTGTCTTTTGAGACAGTGTCTCACTACAGCAGAGCCCTTGCTACCCCTGGAACTTACTATGTAGACTAGTGTGGCCCCAAACTCACAGAGATCCATCTGTCTCTGCATCCCAAATGCTGGGATAAAGGGTGTATGTCATCAAACCCAGCTACTACACTAATATTTAACAAGACAGCAGAGTGGGCCAGTGACAGTAAAATGTGCGAATTACAAGGCCTTGGTTTGTTACCCAGCACTGGAGCTCTGTGTGTGTGTGTGTGTGTGTGTGTGTGTGTGTGTGTATGTGTGTTGGGGAGGGGTAGGAGGAGACAAAATGGGGAGAAAAACTAATACCTGTGTCTTGAAAGCCAGATACAGAAAAGATTAAATCACAGTAGCCATTAGAACAACAACACAACCATCAGAGAGCCTCATTTACATGTCATTAACTACATAAATAATTTTGAGTTACTTGAGGGAGGTAAGTAATGTCACTGCTAAGCATATACAAACTCAGTTTCTTCAGAATGTGTAAACCAATTGCCTTTATGAAAAAGTGTTTATTCATATGAGCATCCTAAGGATTCTGAATTCTTATGATAGATATGTACATGTATGAATGTCATAATAAATCACATTCCATAACCAATAAAATATTTTAATTCTTTAAGCAGTTCACAATGACCATACTTGTCATTTTATGAAGGTGGATTTTAGCTTGACCCACTTACCTTTGATATACAAGAACAAAAAGGTGAGTTATAGAGACTCATTCCAACAAGGTTCTTAGGAAAATATAATACAAGCAGAGAAAACTCATGAGACACACTATCTAGAAAGAATAGTGTGAAGTCTTGACACCAGCCTTTCATTGGTAAAAAGAAAAGGTTGGGTACAGCAGTGTGCATTTAAAACACCTTTCCTAAGAGAATAAAGTTTATTGAATTAAAATTTTCAATCATTGGGGCTGGACCCAGGTTTATTCCCAGCACTCATATGACAGCATAAAACTGTTTGTAACTCCATTCCCAGAGGATCTGAAGCTCTTTTGGCCTCTCCAGATACCAGGGACACACATAATGAACAGACATACACTCACACAAAAATTACCCACACACATAAAAATATTTTTAACTTCATTTAAAATTTTAAGGCGTTTAGTTTTCTTTTCACTTTTGCATTTATGAATTCACTGTATATTTTCAATGTTTTATGTAGCAAGTAACATTCTTTGTTAACACTATCTCAAATGCCATCATATGGTAGCTTATCTCAAGATACTCCCCTGAGATATAGTAGATTTTCCTTCACCAAATCAATTGGCTATGGTGCTTGAGATTGAAGCCAAGGCTTACACAGCAGGTAAATGCTTTCGTAGGGAGCCATATCCCTAGCAACAAACCTACTGCAAGTTTCTGTATTCCCAGCAAAGTCTCTGCAGGATAATAGTATCTATTATTTAGTACTATAACAATAAATCCTTGTCTGTTTAATGCTTACATTTTTAAGTTCTATTTTTTAAATCTGCCTATTTTTCCTGTACTCAGTAAAAATATTTAACTTCTATGATAAACAGTAGTTAGAAGGCAAGGATGTATGTAGCTGAGTGATAGAGCACTTGCCTAACATGTACAAGGTTCATAATAGATCCCTGGAACTACCAAAAAATAAAAATAGGAAATCAAAATAATAAAATCAATTTTCAACAAATACCTTTCAACTATTAAAACTATGACTCTGGTCTAGGGAGATGGCTCAGCTAGACAAACACAAGGACCCGAGTTCACTCCCCAGCACCCATGTAGAAGCTGGGGTTGTTCTTCTATATCCATACTTGTCCTCAGCAGTTAGTGGAGAGGAGTGAATACCAGGGGCTCACTGGCCAGAAAATCTTCCCAAAATGGTGAGCTCCAGGTGAGCTCAAAACATAAGGTGCAGAAGCCATAAAAGACACCTATGTCAGCGGCTAGCCTTTATATATGCACGTGTAAGCAAGTGTATCCACATACACTTATGTGCACACATATAAATACACAGGAAAAATTACTGTAACTCTATGTGGGAGATATTGCATTTCATCAAGTTTGATATTCTTGTCACAAGATTATAAGACTGACTCAAAACAACACATAGAAAAACATACGGAACTTGTAGCCAAACTAAACCCAAAGAATGCTGGCAGTTCTTTCTATTCTTAAATACTTATTTATAACATAAAAGCATCAATACCTGCGAAGTAGTTAATAGTAAGAAGTAAGATTAATTAAAATGGATCTTATATGTATAAAGGTATAACTATAAATATTCTCTAATGCAGTATAGAAATTATTCTTGTGGGCAAACAAATATACATTAAACTTCTAAACACAGTTGCCTCATTTACCCCTGAACTTCTGACTCATTCCCCAACCTTGCAGCCGACATACAGTGAGCCAGAATGCCAAGTGTGGACTCTGGTGCTGGGAGCACCAGAACCATGGCGCAGAGGCTCATTAAAAGGAGAGGCCTAATGAGCACAAAGAAAACCATCTCAACTAATTGAAACCCCTTTGTCTCCTCCCAATGTTTGCACATCTTTTTCTCCCCACTTTGACCTATGCTTTTCTTTTGTCTTCACATACACCCCCACAGTTTGACCACTGAAATTATTCCCCCTTCAAAGACTAAAACCTGGGATGTCGCTTGACCTGATTGTTGAGTGAGCAAATACAGATACCAAAGCCCTTCACCATATCCCCTCCAGCTTCAACTTCTGTTAGCTTTCATTTCACTATGTCATGTGTTGTGGTAATAATCTAGGAACATTAACCCACAGCATCAACGTCCCTTGTTCCCTGTTAATAGATCACTGCTGCTATAAAAAGTCCTATGTAACATCAGGCTATGCCAGAGAAATGCCAAGATTACAGCCTCTTAGCTCATCTCAAAACTTTAAATGTTAACATTCTTTCCCCAGTATTTTCCAACCTTTACCCTGTCAAAGCACAGAGAACAATAGCATGAACAGAACACTGGGTAAATAAGCAGTGTTGCTCAAGGCTGAGGATCAGTCTGGAGGCTCTAGCTCCCCAGGCCTGTTCAGCCTGTCTAGGGACGGAGGGTTGAGGAGCTCTCTGCCCTCCCGGAACCTAGAACTGTACTACAGAGGCACAAAAGCTGGCAAGCCCTGGTTTACATTTACCACATAGTTCCAGTGGGCCAGACAAACCAAGATAAACACAAAAAGTTGTGGGAATTTTCTTCACACTCATTTTGAACATGTGCATTCAGCATCTGGCAGAGTGTTGACAAGTTATACCCATCTCTGACAGGTCATGATGACAGCTACCCAAAATTACAAGCAGGATTTAATTTGCTATTGCAAATATCTATCACCACAGGAGAAATTCTAAGAAACAAACAACAAATCCTAATAACTACATAAAATCTTCCATACAGAAAAGGAGATAAGATGTTTTAATAGCCAAATCTTGAGGCTTTCCAGGTATCACTCACTACATTATAAAAGAAAAAAAATGAAAATATAGTCTTGGAACTTTTATTTGGACACAGTATATAACATTACACACATCCCCAAGGATCCAAGCAGTTGTTTCTCCTGGCTTCCTTTCTTTTCTTTTACTTTGCTTTCTAGGTCTCATTATTCTTGCTTATCAAATGTGTTTGACTTGGGAAAATCATTAGTGCTTTAGTAAGAACAAAAAGCACAGAAGTAACAATACATTAAAATGCACAAGACTAAATGCCAATGTATCTGTTTATTAGAGCTTCCAGTGTGTAAAGTTCAAATAAAATGATCTATCCAATTGCTATAGTTTGAAAGTTAAATGATTTTTGTTCTTTTAGAAAAACTGCAGCACAAATTAACAAAGTAATGAAAACATAAGTACATTTAAAACACAGCTTAGGAAACATATTTACCTCTTTTATATGATTAAAAGTATAATAAGTTGTTGGCAACAAAAGCCAGCAACAATGAAATACAGACATTTATAGGATAAAGACAACAAAAACAAGAACTTTAAAAACTTTGAGATGAATATAAACATGTAAATAGGAACCCTGCCTTTAATTTTTAATCACTTATCATTCATATTCAGCAATAAAGACTTTTCAGCTATCAGTACAAATATCTTACTGCTTTAACATGTACTGTTTATTCTGTGACACACAGCTGTTAACGATGCACAGTTTTTCATGAAACACTCAGATGCCCAAGCCCACGCTGCTTCACTGTAATAGGGAAGACTTAAAGCTAGCACTGTGTCTATGGAATCATAGCATACATACTGTATTGCCCCGTGCTAGTCTGATATATGCTAGTTGGTACTGCCATGGTAGCAATGTTAGGTGGTGTCCCTTCTTCCTCTGATTTTTCTTCTTCAATCTTGGGAATACCAGGCACATCAGAGGAAAGTTCATTCAGTATTTTTCTAAAATATAATATAACAATATAAGCAATTAGGATATAGAAAGAGACAACAGGAAAGCTATAAAGAATAGTTGTTTTGCTCTACAATTACTGTGTCTTTTTGGGTGGAAATATTCCAGTTGGAAAGTTAGTTAACTCACCTATATGAGGGTCTTCGTGAAAGAATTTCTCTACGTTTATGCGAATCGATTACTTCTGAGTCTGCAGAATCATCTGTCTCTGCAATTGTTGCTACCTATAATACAAGACTTTCTGAAATGCATCATAAAACATATGATCTTCATCTTCCCTCAAAAATGGTGACTAAGAGTCTGTGGATAGAACTCAGTGCTTGTGTGGAGAAGGAAACAAGGAATGGAAGTGATAATAATTCTACATAAATTCAATAGAAAAGTACTTGGAATACCAAGTAAGGCTTCAAAGGAAAGGGAAAAGTATACAACACTTAAGACCCAAAATCTCAAACCGAAATTTGTCCTTGTAAGTACAGATATCAGTAAGACCATAACAGATGCAGAAAAACTACCCAATTTAGTGCTCTCTCTACATCATCATTGGCTTAAGCTGGGTATAAAAATTAGGTCATAGGTAGGCCCAAAGAAGAATGAATACTTATGTAGACAAGTCACTAAAACCATGTTTGTTGAGAGAAGGCTTTACATTATAATGAGAATATTAGAGTTTAAAGATTCTGAAGTCAAAACAAATTTATATTTAAAGGCCCAGTAAGATGGCTCAGTGAATAAAAGCACTTGCCACTATGCCTGACAACCTGAGTTCAGTCCCAAGACCCACATATCAGACAGAGAACAAATTCCCACGAGTTATCCTCTAACCTACAAGTAGACACTATGGAATGCACCCAAAGACGCATCCACATAAAAGATAGACTGGTGGGTGAGACGGACAGATGGACGGACGGATAGATAGATAGATAGATAGATAGATAGATAGATAGACAGACAGATAGATAGATAGTTGTAAGAATAAAAGTATCAGAGTTTTCAAACCAGGTAACAATACAATGACATGACAAAGTGAGAAAACAAAAATGACAAATCTCTAAATATGTCTTCTGTCAATATATTTAGTCATTTAGCTCTAAGAGAGGTAGATTTACAAAACTTCATGTTACATGAGACTTTGACATGGAGAAAAAACTAAGAATCAGGAATGAAAACAACACGTAGCTCCTGTTATGCCACATGGTGAGTCCAGTTAAGAACAACACAGGGCTGAGGAAGCAACTTGGTTGTTAGAGTGCTTTCATCATGCACAATGCCATATATTTGATCCCCAACATCACATAAAACATGGTATAGTGGTGAATTCCTCTAATCCTAGCATTTGAAGGCAGAAACAGAAGCATATAAAATTCAAGGACAGTTTTAAATATACTATGAGCCTGAAACCAGCTTGAGCTTCAAAAATCTTCTCTAGAAAAACGCCAAGAAAGAGGAGAAGGAGGAAAAAAAAAGCATATCAAAAAAAGAACTTGAAAATTGCAAAAGTTTATGTAGAATTAGCATATTTAAAGTGTTTGCAGCATGAGAAAATGATACAAAATAATACATATTTTAATTAGCCAATTTAGTCATGCCACAATGTATACATACTTTAAAACAAAATGTTGTTCAGAATAAATTGATAAAAAAAATTTACCAATTAAAATGCATACTAAAAATTCATTTCTGATTTTAATAAAAGGAATTATATAGTCTTCAATGCATATAGACAGGCATGCGTGTAAACAAGTCAGTAAAACCAGGTTTGTTGAGAGAAGTATTTATATTATCAGGAGTATATTAGAGTTTAAAGATTCTGAAGTCGCTGGGCAGTGGTGGCGCACACCTTTAATCCCAGCACTTGGGAGGCAGAGGCAGGCAGATTTCTGAGTTCAAGGCCAGCCTGGTCTACAGAGTTGAGTTCCAGGTCAGCCAGGGCTACACAGAGAAACCCTGTCTCGAAAAACCAAAAAAAAAAAAGAAAAAAAGATTCTGAAGTCAAAACAAATTTATATTTAAAGGACCAGTAAGATGGCACAGTGAATAAAACATACACACACACACACATATATGAATGTACAAATATATTATATGTTTTGGTCATGGATACTCTACACCAACACTCACACACTGAACAGAACCTACTAGGAAAAAAGTGTTATTGCCTTACACGGTCATACACCATGTATCCTACACTGGCAATATACTTGACACAGCTGTCCAAAACAATAGCAATACCCTCATGTGCACTACAGCCCATTACTTCATCCAGTTTAGAAAAGCTGAGATGAAATGAGCAGTGGTGGCTCACATCTTTAATCCCAGCACTTGGAAGACAGAAGCAAGTAGATGTCTGTGAACTTGAGGCCAGCCGGGTCTACAGAGCACATTCTAGTACGGTATGGAATGTCATAATAATAAAAACACTATTGCATATAATTAATATATGCTAATAAAAACATTTTAAAAATTGAAGTTCATGTAGAAGATTTGCCATTTAAACCATGGGAGTTCTACGATAAGATCTAAGAGCATTTATCTCTACAAAGACAATCAAATCATTCACTTAACAAAACAACAGCAATAATAAAGGTTGCCTTCCAATACCAGCCAAGTGAAGTTTTTACTGCCAATAAAATCCATAATGCAAGGAAGAGCAAAGGGAAACTTTCTTACTTTATAATTAGAATCAGAAATTACAAACTCTTGGAATCAAGGGTCATCAGAGAAAACTAAAGACAATGATAAGAATTGTTTCTACACCCTGGGACAAAGACAAGATACCTATGCTGGAAAAAGAAGCAAGCTCAGAAACCATGAAAATGTATCATGTCAGTGCTGTGCCGGCACTCACAGCATTCTGTGAGAAACTACACTCAAGCATGCAGATGAAGGCAAGATTAAGTATATGCACATCCATTTTCCTCACAGATTTGAGCCTTGCTTGTCACCACTTAAGTTCAAATACTTTCTACACTTCAAGAATAATAACAAATTGACCTAAAAATAAACAGAAATCAGTTTAGTAAATATGAGACATATGCTATAAAGTACACACATAATAAATAATATCTACTAATAATAAAAACTACCTTCAAGAGTTTAGGATGTGACCATTTTGATAATAACAATGATGATAAGTCATAAAATATGTATCTGTAGCACAACCACATCTACAAAAGCCCAGGTTCAACCTGAGGAGTGTATGATATGGAAATGAAGTGCCCAAGTGACAAGGATCTGTACTTCTGGGCTGGGGTACAAGAGGTATTAGAGCATGTGCTTAGCATGCACAAAGATCAGCAGTTTAAGTCCCAGTATCAAATATTCTGAATTTCTAAGGGCTGCATTCACTAATCTATAATCAATTTCTGACCAAGTACAGTGATGTACTCAAGAAGCTGAGGCAGGAGGTTGGATGCTAACTTGGGTTACATAGTGAATCCAAAGCCACTCTTCATAGTACTATGTTTATTACAATGTCTTCCAAGAACCCTCAAAGTACCACTAGCCAGCTCTGCTAAATAAATATAAGTCGAAAAAAAGAAGCTAAGACATAGAACTGCCTATTTAACAATTATTCACTGTACAAAAATTAAGAAAATCCAACCCATAAGTCAATCTATATACATAGCCCAACACATTGTACCATACATAAAAAGAAATTCTCCAAGTATCCAAGAAGATACAATATAAAGTTACATAAAATTGCCAAATGGAGTGGCACATGCCTGTAGTCCCATGGTTTGAGAGGCTGAGGAGGATAAGGTGTTCAAAGCCAACCTTGGCTACATAGTGAAACCTTATCTCTAAAAGAGTAAAAGAAAATAAAGAAAATTATGATAAATGAATTAAACAACAGAAAAAAATTAAAGCTCAAAAAAGTCAAAGACAAATCGTCAAGGAAGGACGCTAACCTGAACAGTTTGTATTTGTGGTGACTGAATAACCGATGGATGTGGTGTCTGAATTACTCCCTGGACCTGTACAGTTTGGCCTGAAGGTAACTGCACTAGAGTCACAGCTGGGGAGCCTCTTCCAGTGCCTGATCCAGCTACAGAAACCTGAAAAAATGACCATCATTGAAGATTAAAGCTGGACTTGTTTTGCTTTTGCTTATTTTTAAGAGTACCACTTGCTATCACAACCAGCCTACTTCTCTTTTCTTTTTCTGAATCTAAGAAATGAAGAACAAGTGGGGTACTTACCATTAGGAGGTAGTCACTGTCCTGGAACTGTCATTCTCTGATGTGACAGATACTAAAGAACCCATGTGCCTCACTTTTGCTGCCCATGCTTTGGCAGCTAGGAATGTTCCGAGCACAAAGTTCTAAAGCAGTTAAACTACCTTGGTACAACCTCTTGGCCACTAACAGGGTCACCCTTTTCAGGCCAAAACACAAACTTCTTCTCTTTAACTGATTAAGAGGAACTGAAGAAAATTCAAATGTGGTGGATTACTTTTTGATAAATGAAATGTTTTGCATATGGCAATTCTTTCATTATTTTAGATGTAAGCTGATACACTGTCTCCAAAAGCCATTTTTATATTCTATAATCACATGTATGTACCTGTTTCTACTGTCTTTGTCTCTCTGTCTGTCTCTCTGTCTGTCTCTGTCTCTGTCTCTCCTCTCTCTGTCTCTGTCTCTCCTCTCTCTCTCTCTTTCTCTCTGTCTCTCTCTCTCTCTCTCTCTGTCACACACACACACACACACACACACACACACACAGTACACCACAGGACAAAGAAATTGCAGGACCTTTCAAGCCTTTCATGCCTGTTCCAAAAAACCCTCTTGCCTCAGGGCTGGTGTGGTAGCCCTCTTCCCAACATGGAGTATCAGTTGAGAGGTTGAGAGCCCCATCAGTCTTGAACTGAGAGATGAGTGACATAGGCATCTCCCTATATCACCCTACAGAGTGTGCCTGAAACACCTTTAGATTGGACTCAAAGTCTCTAGCAATCAGTCTGTCCTTCTGGTCACTATAATTTTAGAAACTTTTCATAATCTTAGAAACTTTTTTTTTAATTTTCCGAGACAGGGTTTCTCTGTGTAGCCCTTCTTGTCCTGGAACTCACTCTGTAGAACAGGCTGGCCTCAAACTCAGAAATCCACCTGCCTCTGCCTCCCAAGTGCTGGGATTAAAGACGTGCGCAACCACTGCCCAGCTAGATACTTTTCTTAATACTCAGTTCACTGTGCATTTTGATTTATTCAAACTACTCAAAGACCTTGAAAATGAACTACAGTGGGAGTTTCTATCTTGAGTAATAAGAGAACCTCAAGGTATCACTTTTCACAAAAGCCTCTATCTTTTAAGAAACACCAATGAGTCCCAGGCTACTTTACTAGTGTTTATTACTTTTAAAACTATTTGAATATAGCTTTGCAAAGTGGGCATAATGGTATAAGTTTGAAATCTCAACACTCAGGAAGCTGAAGCAGAAGGATCATGAATTTGTGGCCAGGATAAAAAACACAGAAACACCCTTGTCTGGGAGGGGGGAAACAGATTTACAACAAATAGTTAACATTTACTTACAATGTCATTTTCTAGAAGGCAAATACTTTAACATGTAGAAAAGAAACCTATGTCTAGCACTGTGCTTCATGGACTAAGGTATAAAGTAGAATTGGAAAAAATGATGCCTAAAAGACAACCTGCTCTACTTTACTAGCCATGAATATCACAGGGGTACAGAAGAAAGATCAGTATAGCACTGAACGAAAAGTGAAGGCTTTCTGTGGAAGCCAGAGCTGAAGCCAGACCTTGATCTAAGCCTAGATTAGGAAGTGAAAAATGAGGTCAGCGGCAACTAATACAAACAATGTACCAGGCAATTTCAGCCTACCTGTCCCAGTATCACCATCTACTTATATTGTAGAAGTACATCTATATTAAAAGTACCTCGAGTGTGTGTATGTGTGTGTCTGTGTGCATGTGCATTTGTGCATGTGTGTGTTGAGCAGATAAAGATACAAAGAAAAAGGATTTGTTCTACAAATCTCAGCACAGAAGGCTGTACAAATGATGGAAGGACATCCAGCACTGGCAGTGTTAACTGGTAGAAAGTTCCCTCCTCCTCTCAGTAACCTCAAACTCTTTCTCTCATGACATCTTTATACTTAAACTTGCTAACTACCTCAGAGGGTTTTGCTGTTGTTTTCAATTTTTTATTACATGTAGAGTAAGTTTGTATATGTGCATATGTTACTTTGTGTGTTCATGCCACTGTGTCATGTGAAGTTGAAAGGTTGAAAGGACAAATTGTTGGAGTTCGTCTCTCCTTCTACAATGTAGTTCCACAGGATCAAACTCAGGTCATCAAGTTCAGCAGTAAGTGCTTTTAGCATCTGAGCCATCCCACCAGCCCTAAAGAGGTTTCAGTATCTGAACCGACTGGATTTCTATCTAGTAGAGTGACGGTAAATATTTAATAACCAGATCCTAGGAAGTGGAATCCTGACGTACAGTTTTTGTTTATTTGTGTGACATAAACAATGCATTGTGAATCATGACTTGTTTCAGGCTGCAAATAGGGATGATGGACACTGGGTCTCTGACAACCCGTGTCAGAGACCCAGTGCATCACAATAATTTTCTTTTTTTAACCACAAAAGGTAAAACATTTAAAGATAACAAACTTGAAACTACAGCAAAGAAACTCAGGAAACTCAGGATCACCAGGGGCGGTACCACTCATAATGGTCTAGGCCTTAGCACATCAATCACTAATTAAGAAAATGTTGCACAGGCTTGCCTACAGGCTGATCTTATGGAGGCATTAATCTTAATAGAGGTTTCAGATGATTTCAGCTTGTGTCAAGTTGACATAAAACTAGCTAATATACATACATATATACATACATACATATATACATACATATTTATACTAGGTATATATATGCTATGTGTATATATCCTATATAAATGTATGTATATATGTATGTATACATATACAAATAATTATAGAACATGCTTTCAGTTGCTTTATCTTTCAAGTATAATTCTTAGAACTCCATATTAAACAACAGTTCTATCAAAAGTTTTAGTGTCAAGAATACTTGATGTAGACCAACAAGATAACTCAGTGAATAAAGCCCCTTGCTGTCAAGACTAATGGCCTGTATCTGATCCTGGAACTCCATCATGGAAGACAATAACCAACTCTCACAGGTGTTCTTTGATTTCCACATACATCATGGTACACATGTACTCACACCCATATACACACAAAATAAATAACATAAAAACATATCTTTTGCCGGGTGGTGGTGGCGCACGCCTTTAATCCCAGCACTTGGGAGGCAGAAGCAGGCGGATTTCTGAGTTCGAGGCGAGCCTGGTCTACAGAGTGAGTTCCAGGACAGCCAGGGCTACACAGAGAAACCCTGTCTCGAAAAAACAACAACAACAAAAAATCACATCTTTTAAAGACCACCTGGGCCAGGTATGGGGGTGCATGTCTTTTCATGTCAGCCCTCAGGAGGTAGACAGACCACTGTGTATTTGAAGCCAGCTTGGTCTACATAATGAGTTCCAAGCCAGCCAGAAGTACATAGTGGGACCCTGTCTCAGGAAAACCAAACAATCAAAAACTAATGCAGAAATAAGTTGTAAGTTCCCATCAACACAGGCTGTGACCTCAAAATCCTAGAGGTGAGCTAAGTGAATTCTGTAATGATAACTCTGCTATGTCCAAACTGTGGGGGTACAAAAGCTTAAGAGTCTATCATTAAACTCCTGAAACACAAATAATATATCCTTGATTCTAGCTACACTTTAGATGGATCCTTTTAATCAAGAAAGCACGTAGATCTGTAAAGCTGCCATCCTATGTGATCACTGGCTTTGAGAAAGCCGGTAAGTGATAAGTATGAAGCCTGTAATTGTAGAGAGTTAATTATCTTAAACTTCATCATTATTGCTCTTAAAATCTCACATGGCAGCACTGTCCAGGAACAACTTTCACCAGGAGCCCGGCCCCTGCGGCCTCCTGCATCCCACTTCCCAAGCTCAGGTCCAACTACACCACCCAGAAACCACACTCCAGGCGCTGGTCATTGCCCCCTGCTAGAGGCCCATCCTACAGTCCCCAACAATCCTGCACAGCCTCCTGCAGCAAGTAGGAGACCTACCTTCCCCTGCCCACCTATGTTGCTTCTATTCTTCCTGCACCTGCTGGCCTCTCAGACCTACTAAGTCCTTTCCAGAATACTGTAAATACCACCACTGAAGGATGACAATGAAAGAAAGAAAAGACAGAGAGATAGACAGAAAGAGACAGGAAGGAAGGAAGGAAGGAAGGAAGGAAGGAAGGAAGGAAGGAAGTTACAATCAACATACTACTACTCTAGATGCACAAGTCCTAGCACACAAACAAACTCAGAAACCAAGATGACATGGATCCCCCACAACTAAATTCCCTAATAATGAAACCTAATGAAAGAGACTAGGAAGAACTTCGAAAGAACTAAGAAGGATTATTATAATAATGTTCAAACAACTCATAGAAGGCATGAGTATACTCCAAGAGCAAACAACAATGACATGAATGAAATAAAGAAGGCAATCCAAGATGCGAAAACAGAATTTAACAGAGAGAGAGTTGAAGAAAAGCCCAACATTTGAAATAATGCTGGAAATCCAAAACTCAATAAGCCAAACATCTACCTTAGCAGAAAGCCTTACCAATGGAATGGACCATAGGAAAATAGAGACTCTGGGCTTGGAGGACAAGGCTGAGGTCAATTGAGAAATTCTGAAATAAATATGGAGAGAAAGTAGGACACCAAGAAACGACCTAACCTGTAGATTGTGGGAATAAAAGGACACTATCACACTGAAGGCATAGAATACATTTTCAATAAGATCACAGAGGGGTTGGGCATCATAGCAAACAGTCTTTTTTTTTTTTTTTTTTTTTTGGTTTTTCGAGACAGGGTTTCTCTGTGTACCCCTGGCTGTCCTGGAACTCACTCTGTAGACCAGGCAAACAGTCTTGAATACCAGCACCCAGGAGGTAGAGGCAGGTGGATGTTTGTGAGCTCCAGGCCAG